TTGTGTCCAAGAGATTGAACTTACCAAGGGAGGAAGTGAGAGAGGGCAATCAGTTCAAGAGTGCGTTGAGTTGGGTCTCGAGTGTCTAGACACCAAAGGAGGGAAACACCAAGTGTGTGAGAGTGTTCACAAGTGCATCAAAGTGCTGAGCAAGGGGTGAGAGAGAAAAGAGAGTTTGGGAGATAATAGACACTACTACAAAAATGGAAAACTACGACGCCTTTTTAACGACGGTAAAATTAAAAAGCGTCGTGTTTTTAAAAACCATGAAAAACCACGATAGTTCCATCTAAAACCGTCCTGTTTTAAAATAAGCTGGCAAAAATTACGATGGTTACTTATAAAAACCGTCGTGCTTTAAAAGGCGCTCGACAAAAAATTCACTTAAGTTTTCGCTGAAAGGCAACTTTCACCGCACTCTCTCGCAACCTTTAGAAACCCTATCTCTCTCAACTCCCCTTTCTCATCGCTGAAACACTCCATCGCCCCCACGATCTTCACGAGGACACCTCCACAATCTTCGAGATCTCCTTCATGAGGTCTCTCTCGAGCCCACAGGTTTCTTCGCCTCCACGATCTCCTTTGCGATCTCCATTGATGCCGCGAAGCCATCGACTCGGTGACGCCGTGGATGCCATCATCTCCTTCGCATCAGTCATCACCTGCCGCCATCTTCCTCTCAACGGATCTCTCTCGTCGTCTATCTCTCGATGGTACTCTCTGGTCGGCGCTCTCTGTCTTGTTATCTGTTTCTCTAGCTCGTCCCCAAAGCTTCTCATGTCTACACTCTCAAGGTAACCCTCTCTCTCTGTCACTCTTCTATGTTCAAAATTTTGTCCTAAAATTCGTTTGATTGGAGATCAAGATTTTATCAAGGTATCATCTCCCTCTTTTCCTTTTTGTTTCAATTTTGTTTATGCTATTGTGATTTGATTTGCTGTTTTAATTTCTATATTTATATGTGGTGTTAGATTTTTTAGATTTGATTTCAGATTCAATTGGGTTAGTGAGGTAGCAGTGTCATTCTTTCAGCCTAATATTCTTTTTGCGTTGTTTTTTTTTCCCTTAAATTGTAAGGATATGGCTGCTGAGTGCTGTAGGCTATAGAGGTGAAGCTAGCTGCAGTAAGGGAGGCCTGCAAGACAGGTAAAACTTTAACTTGGTTTCTGATTAAGTGACTGTGATATTGAATGAGATATTGGGTTTGCTCTGTTTGGGGCCTTGCCGAGTTCTATCACCCTGAGAAGGAGTATAATGTTCGTGTTGCTTCAAGGTTGTTTTCATATCTTTTACTTCACAAAAGACAATAATATTTATTCACATCTCATACATTCTTATCTGAAACTGTGATAACTTTTTTAAAATTTTCTGTTGTAGAAACTGTTGCTCTTGCCTAAAACCTTCTTGTATATAGAGAATTGATTGTGTGGAAAGTTTAAAATTACAATTCTATATTTGAATGTAGGAATGTGGGAAGACACTTGCTGGACAGAACTTCCCTTATTAAAGCTACATTGTTTTAGGAAACAAGTCCCCTTCTCCCTCCACGCCCACCCTCTTTTTCTTTATTTTGAGGACTTTTTCCCCCAAAACTGCATTCTTTCAAAAAAAAAATTTCTTTATTTTGACTTGAGGAGTGATATTGGAATAGACCGGATGGAAATTATGCCACATTAGTGCAAAATCATACTTGCAGTATTTGGAGTTATTTGGGAACATGGGAACCACAGCAAAGCAGAAAATAGATGCAGGATGAAAGGGATACTTTTAGTTTATACTATGAAATGATGGTTATTAGTAACATAAATTTTTTGTGTTCAGATTTGTCTTATGCTCTTCCCCCGCCCCCCATTTGATTTCAGGTATTCAAAGGTCCTGAGCTTCTTGTTGATTCACAAGATTATGATTATTCTTTAGACTTGTGGAGTCTTGGTTGCATGTTTGCTGGAATGGTGAGCATTTCCCAACCTATTTTGTTCTATTAAGGCACCTTATATATCACATACTCCTGAGCTCATTATGGTTATGCTGGTATTTGGCCTAAATATATCAAGTATTGTGTATCCTCTTCCCCATCTAGCCCAAAATCAACCCTTGATATAATTAAATTTATGCATTTAGCAGGGGATGCTTGAATATATGCAATAGTTTTTCTATCCTGAAATGAGTACTTCAGATGTGATGGATAAAACTTCTCTTAGTGATGCATGGACAATAGATCTTGATCTGCTTGCCTATTTATCCATGGGTGGCAGATGGCGAGAGTCAAAATTTGATACCATGTCAAAGTATGTGATGCTCTCTTGTGATGCTTAGCCTTGTGCTGTACAGATATTTTGTAAGGAGCCATTTTTCTATGGACACGATAACTATGATTGGCTAGTCAAAATAGCAAAGGTATGCATGCTTGTTAAAAAGCTTTTTGGTCTTTTATTGTTGTTCTTATTGTACTTCAATAGTTAATCTTTTGCCTCTACTTTGTCAAATTGATTCATGTGCCCATCACATTGAGAGAACCAATAATGTGGATTACAAGTTTTTTTTTCCAGTGGAATCCTTCATCATATGCCTATGTGACTGCATTTGACACTTGTGCAAATAAATGTATTTGTGTGTGTTTCTTGTTGTGGTGTGTATTCAATTTATATAACAAATGATGTGGCTTTCAAGAAGAAAAGAAAGCACTGTGTAAGAAAACTATTTGCAGTTTCTGTCCTTTTGTTTCTTGTTTCCTCTTGCAAATGGAAAGGGCATAAAAGATTAGAAATATATCTCTTACTAAAACTTTTTTTTTATTTTTAAAATCTTGGTTTTGCAGTGCAAGAAGGCAGCGCTAACTCATACACACAAGAACAAATTGATGAAATTCGGATCGAATGGGCAGCATGTATGAGCAATCACATGTAGCTCTTCTATTTCTAATTATAGTTTAATGCTATGGATATGTTATTTTGTATGGATATGGTAGGAATCAAGATTGATAAACTATGTAATTACTATTGAATCTTTAAGTTTTATGAAAGAAACAATTTTTGAGTATATATATGTATGGTGTGGGTAATATCATATTTGGACCTGAATTTATTGTTCACAAAGCATTATGATTTTTTTCAGTTAAAATCCTTGTAGAGAACCATTGGAAACAAATAAAAATAAATAAAAAGAAGCCAAAATGTTAATTCACTACGTCCAATTTTACAATTCATAGATGGCAATTTTTTAAACAATACCGTCGTCTTTAACATTAATAGACGACGATTTTTTTTGCAAACTGTCATTTTTAATGTTAATAGACGACGGTTTTCAGAAAAAGTGTCGTCTATTACATTAAATAGACGACGGTTTTTTCAGAAAGTGTCGTCTATTACATTAAATAGACGACGGTTTTTTCAGAAAAAGTGTCGTCTTTACATTCAATAGACGACGGTTTTTTCAGAAAAAGTGTCGTCTTTAAATGTAATAGATGACGGTTCTTTTAAAAACCGTCGTTTTTACATATAATAGACGACGGTGAATTACCGTCGTAGTTTGACTTTCAAAAAGATGAC